CACCTACATAGGCATGTGTGGAAATGCCATGGCACAAGTGTGGAGGTCAGCGTGTGTGTGGTGGTGTGTAAACACACCAACATATGTGTGTTTGGGAATGCCATGGCACAAGTATGGAGATGTGTGTGTGTGTGATGGTGTGCACAGACTCCCACATATGCATATGTGGGCATGCCATGGTACAAATATGGATGTCAGTGTGTGTGCATGTGTGTATGTGTGTGTAATGGTGTGTAATGTGTGTTTAATGGTTTAATGGTGTGCACACACACCTACATATGCATGTATGGCATGCGATGGCACAAATGTGGACCTCAGAGAGCAATGCTATAAAATCGGCCCTCTCCTCATCCTTTCCTTGGGTTTCAGGGATAGAACTCAGGGTGCTGGCTTTTGTTTACTCAAGAGTCATTCCACTCACTTACCTTTCTTTTTCAAATCCTTCCTCTACCTTTTCTTAAATTCTTCATCTTCTTCCCAATGTCAAACTGAAGTGGGTCAGTGCTCAGACACATGACAAATGAGCAACTGGTACCACGTGTAGGGGACGGGGTGGGGAGACAGGTTCTGGAGCCAGTGCATCATGGGAGTCCTGAGAATGCTGCTACGATACCGCCAGGTGACCCTGGTATGAGCTTATTCTTGTGATTAAAATTCTTGTTTTATGTGATGTATGGGCTTATACGTATGTTTTGTCTGTGTACTATGTGTGAGCCTGCTGCCCACAGATGCTCGAAGTCAGAGGATCCCTGGAGATAGAGTTATAGATGGTTGTGAGCTGCTGTACAATTGCTGGGAACCAAATCTGGCCCTGAGGAAGAGCCTCAGGAACTTGTAACTGCTGAGCCATCTTTCCAGTTCCTGGCCTGTGTTTTTTTTTTAAACAATATTTATTATTATTATTATCCGTTGTGCCCAAATTACGACCCCCAGAGAGAGACCACCAGAGAGGCCCAGACTATAATAAGCAAGGTTTAATCAGCATAATACAAACATGTTTGAAACCCATCTTTGACCCCACTGCAGTGAGGTAGAGAGGAGTTGTATCTCCTCTGTGGGGTAAGCTTTCAAAGGCATAACTACAAAGAGACTCTTTGAAGCTGCTTTGGCATGGGTGCAAGGACTTTTGCTCCCTCCCATTGTGCTAAGTCAGCTTTTTCCTTGTTTTAGAGCAAGGCTACTGTTTCTGAGTTAGGCCATCTTTATCAGCCTGTACCAGGTGGCTGGCTTGGTTGAACTAAGTGACCTTGTGCTCGGAATCTCCCGGGTGGGAGAGGGGAAGGCCACTATCTTCCTGGGAAAACATTCTGCTACGAATTTTTTTCTCTCCCCTTCGAGAATAAGGGTTGAGGGTCCTACATTATAATTTTGAATTTGTGCGTCTGTGTGTGGGCATGTGCATGTGTGTGCAGGTGTCCACGGAACACAAAAAAGGGTGCAGATTCCCTAGAGCTGGAGGTCAAGTGGTTCTGAGCCACCTGGGGTGGGTGCTGGGAACTGAGCTCAGGTCCTCTGCAAGAGAAGCACCCATTCTTTTTTTTACTCTAATTCTATTTATTTATTCATTTATTTCAGGTGTATGGGTCATTTGACTGCATGTGTGTCTGTGCACCATGAGCATGCCCAGTGCCACACAGAGGCAAGAGGAGGATATCAGCTTCCCTGAAACTGGAGTTAAGGATGGCTGTGAGTCTCTATGTGGGTGCTGGGAATTGAACCCAGGTCCTCTGGAAGAGCAGCAACTTAACCACTGAGCCATCTCTCCAGCCCCTGGAATGATTTTTGACAAGGACAGACACTCTTCATCATGTATCAAAACTGATTAGTAGTGAAAGGGGGATGATTATCGATTCCAAGTCCACTCAGAATTGTGAAGTCTCTCTAAGTAGTTCCTTTAGTATTGAACACATATTTATTAAGAGCCTAGTAACTGCCAAGCCCAGGTATAACCAGAAAGGTAGAGTGACTGCCCTCGTGGAGTTTACTTCCTGTCACAAGGAGTCAAACCAGCTGAAGAGTGATGTAGGGTGGTCATGCAAGTCTTCTCTGACATGGCTTCTCATCTGGGGCCTACAGGGAGGAAAATACTATAGAATGGCAGCCAAATAATCTACTTAAAAACCATGAACTGTTTTTTCAACTCAACTATGTTTATAGCAGCATTATTTGTAATGGCCAAAATCTGGAAACAACCTAAATGCTCCTCAACTGAAGAATGGATTAAGAAAATGTGGTACATTTACAGAATGGAATACTACACAATGGTAAAAATGACATCTTGAAATTTGCAGGCAAATGGATGGATCTAGAGAACATATTGAGTGAGGTAACCCAAACCCAAAAAGACAAATATATTATGTACTCACTCATAAGTGACTTTTAGACATAAGTCAAAGAAAAACCAGATTACAATTCATAATCCTAGAGAACCTAGACTCCAATGAGGACCCTAAGAGACACATACATGGATCTAATCTTCATGGGAAGTAGAAAAAGACAGGATCCCCTGAGTAAATTGGGAGCATGGAGATCATAGGTGAGGGTAGAAGGGGAGGGGAGAGGAAGGGAGGGGAATGGAGAAAAATATATAGCTCAATAAAAACAATTTTTAAAAAAATCATGAAATCAGTCAGGCAGTGGAAGCACATGCCTTTAATCCCAGCACTTGACAGAGAAGGGAGGCGGATCTCTCTGAGTGCAAAGCCAGCCTGGTCTCCAGAGGGAGTTCCAAGACAGTCAGGGCTACAACAGAGAAACCCTGTCTAGGAAAAAAAAAGAGGTGATGAGGGAAGGGGACCAAACACAGGGAGAAACTGGATCATGAGCTAAGAGTCTTGGTCAAGTGCAAGTAGAAAAAAGGCACCTTGTGTGGCAGTCAAGGGATGTGATAAGCATATCCATCTGTCTGTCTGATCTATCCATCCATCCATCCATGCATCCATCCATGCATCCATCCATGCATCCATCCATGCATCCATCCATCCATCCATCCATCCATCCATCATCTATTCATCATCCATTCATCCATCCATCTATTCTAGTCTGTTTCATGTTGCTGAGATAAGCCACCTTGCTGGGAGACCTCCATGTCACAGTCCGTTTTGAAGGAAGCATGCAGGAATTCAGCAGGAACCTGGAGGCAGGAGCTGAAGCAGAAGCCACGGCGAACAGTGCTTACTGGCTTGCTCTACATGGCTTGCTCAGCCTGTTTTCTTATAGAACCCAGGGCCATCTACCCAGGCATGACATCACACACGATGGCCTGAGCCCTTCCATATCAATTTACAATCAAGAAAATATTTGGTTACAGTAATAATGAGAAAAATAACTAATATAAGGCCTCTGAAAAGGAAGGAAAGAAGAAAATAAGAATAGAAAGATAACAGCAGACAGACAGACAATGCCTAGTAAGTTTTTGTCAACTTGATACAAACTAGAGACTCCAGGAAGAAAGAACCCATATTGAGCAATTGCCCCCATCATCTTGGACAAGTGGGCTTGTCTGTAGGGATTTTTTCTTGTAACAATACAATATGAATGATGTCTTGGTTTCTCTCTCTCTCTCTCTCTCACATGCGTGCGCACACACACACATACACACACACAGGAACACAACACATCCAAACACACATATGCAAAAACATACACAATCACGTATATAGAATGTAGCTATCCTACCCCAAATCTTCCCTGTTTCTATGGAAACATTCTCTCTCTGTCCCCTTACTTCCTTGTCCATCAATCTCAACTCCTGGGTCTGGCAAAGGCAGTAGCACCCCTCCTCAACCTCCTCTAAAATGGAGGTCACTTTAGGATCTGACCCTGGGGAGCCTCAAGCCTGGCCCATGTGAGAAGTCAGAACTAGAACTTATCTTTCCCAGAGCCCCTCATTCTGCTCTTTCCCACCACTGTGCAAGTCCCCACGGGGGAATTCCTGCGCACACCATATCTGAATGAAGACATGACAATGTGTTTACCATCCGTATTTACCACTCTGGAGGTTTAACAAGACCCAAGGTGAGAAGAGGAGACTGGCCAGGCATCCATCAGAACTGTCCCATGAACTTCCCATTCCCAGTGAACTTAAGAGGGGTTCACTGTGAATGATACAGACACATATAGTGTGGGCTTCACTGAGTAAAGGCCATGGTTCCTCTGCGCTCACAGAGATGGAGCAAGAGAAGATGGTCAACTCTCAAGTTCACTCAGGAAGTGACGTGTCACAGAGGTTGGGCAACTGAGAAAAGAAAATGCTCTCCAGAGCTCTGCCGGGATTGGGAAGGTTGTGAAACCCTTAGCTGGGGGTTGGGGAACTGGTGGCATCCTCAATCCATGGCCATGGATGCGCCCCTCACCGGGAGTGATAGGACTCAGTGTCCCTGGGACCTGGAGCATCTTCAGAGCACTTCCTGTACCAGTTCACCTGGAGCCTCACACAGGACCAGGAAGCAGAGGACAGAAAGGAGAACAAGGCACGTGAATATTCTTTCCAGAAAGACACGCCCCTTCTCTTCTCTTGGGTGCAGGTGACATCTGAGTTGAAGAAATGACCCCGAAAGTGTTGGCAGTGTGGCTGCCTTCAGCTCTGCTCCTCTTGCAGGTCCCAGGTGAGCACGGGGACTGGGTGGGGGCTTTCAGCTTTGAAAGGGCAAACTCCTGGTGTAAGTGAGAGGGCATGACAGTGGGATGGGAGGTGGGCGAGAGCAGCCAGCAGAGGGAAATGGGGCTTAGAGAGAATGCAAGAGGGGGATGGGCAGGAGTGGGCAGCCTGGTCTCACAGGTGTGGTCAGGCTCAGTACAGTCATGTCAGCCACACCTGAGAGAGTCAGCCTGCTGAGAGGGTTAGCTGTGAAGTCATTGCCAGAGAACCACATAGTCTCCACTGTGTACACACATGTATCTGTGTACATGTGTGTGCATACCAAACAAACACAAGCACTCAATCCCCACAGAGGCACATGTCCCACCCCCAGAGACATATGCACATATATGTTCATAGGTAAAATCTCTCTCTGTCTGTCCCTCTGTCTCTGTCTCTGTCTCTGTCTCTCACTCTCTCTTACACACACAGTGTTGTTTACTGCTGGGCCCTTCCTTTCTCTGAACAATATAGGTGCTGACCTCAGCCCTTGCTCTTGGGTCTGACAAAGCCTGTCTCCCTTCTCGCTGCTTACTCCAGATCAGAGTTCTCTCTAAGACCAAACCAAGGGAGGCCTGACCCCCATCCAGCTGTGAGGGTGCAGAATTGATGTTTGTGTTTTCCAGACTGTGTCCCTCTGCGTGGCCCCAGCACCGTGACAGGCACTGTGGGGGAATCCCTGAGTGTGCGGTGTCAGTATGAGGAGAAATACAAGAGCAATGCCAAATACTGGTGCAGAGACTTGCTTCAACGATGTAAAGTGATTGTCCAGACCAGAGGCTCAAAAGAAGCAAGAAATGGCCGAGTGTCCATCAGGGACCATCCAGCCACCCGCACCTTCACGGTGACCTTGGAGAACCTCACCCGGGAGGATGCAGGCACCTACAAGTGTGTAGTGGATAGGCCATATATCAATGGCTCCTTGTGGGAGAGCGATCCCTCCTTGGGGATTGTTTCCTCCTTCAAGGTTGTGGTGTCCATGGTCCCAGGTAAGCCCCCTTCATGTCCTGGCATCCTGTGTCCAGGTCTGTCATTTCATCATGAAAGAAGGAATCCAGATACAATAGAATGGTGAGCTTGGTGAATCAGTGACTCAGACACATTGAGTGTGAGTCCACACGTGCCATTGTGAGAGCATGGGTCACCACCATGTATGATAGCATGTGTACACCATTACATACGTGTGCATGCACACACTGGCACAATGAGAAACATGAGTTCTTAGAACCTCTCTTTTTGTAGCATCAATCTATCTGTATGTCTGTCTGTCTGTCTGTCTATCTATCTATCTATCTATCTATCTATCTTTCTATCTATCTATCTAGCTATCTGGATTTGCCAATGTTGTGTGTCAATCAGAGGAGAACGTAAGGCACATAGTTTTCTTTACCATACCATGGGTCCGGATGTTCAAACTCAGGTCATCAGGCTTGGAAAACATGGGTCTTTACTCACTGAGCTGCATCATCAGACCCTATTGGAGATTCTCTGTGTGTCCCATGTGACAGTCTCAAGCCTGAACCTTTCTAGGGACAGGCCCTAAATGACTGGCTCTTTGTGACTTCCTGTCCTAATAGGAGGCACGTCCTCTCTCCCAGGTATCATTTGGTCTGGTCCTCATCTCCATGTGGGAACAGTACCCCAAAACATCTGCTCCCCTCCATCAAGGGCTGCTCTGGCCTGGGACTGAGTGGACAACTCCCTTCCATGGAGGGCCTGAGGGACCAACTTCATCACAGTGGTTCTGGGGCTTCTGAGAGGGACCGGAGACACAAAAAAGAGTCTAGATTGTGTATCAGGGTTCTTGATCCCTGAGGAATCCATTCAACCCCTCCAAGTTCCCCTGTGTTTCCCTTTCCCAGGAACAAAGGCTTGCAGGAAGAAACTCAGAGAATCCCCCAAAAGTTCCCTTTTTCAGGCAGAGAGTCAAAGGGAATGGAAGCCAGGCTCTCGGTTACTTTGGTCCCAATGTTCTCCATGCCTGTAATCTATTGTCCACTAACAGAGGCTGCCTTGTTCATAGAACCCAAATTAGCACATCCGTTTAAGGGCAGGGTGGTGGCAGAGGCTGAAGGGCTGTTCTGCCCTGTTATTTCCAGTTTCTTTTTCTTTTCAGAGAAAGAACCACACTGTTATTCCCAGATTTTTATCTTTTCTGAGAGAGAGTGTAGCCCAGGTTGGCCATAAACTCACTGTGGAGCTGGGATTCATCTTGAATGACTGGTCTTCCTGAATCTGCCTCTCCCGCACTGGCATCCCCACACCCAGCTTCCTGTTCTGGTTCTCAGTGTTGGCTTCCCCCTCACATAAACTTCCCTCCAGCATCCTCTGTGGGTTCACACTGAGGAGTGCGCAACCAAATCTACTGGTATTACTCGTTCTCCACAGTAGAGGCCACTCTCCACAGGGTCCTTCAAGCATCTGCCTTTCTAGAACTTTCCATCTGGCTAAGCCTCAGAGATGACTGCCCAGTGGGCTGTCTGGCTGACTGTGGGAATGAGTGGGCCGGGCACACAGGGTCCCACCCCTCTGTGTCTGTTCCCACAAGGATGGAAGACAAGGAGGCAAAGGTGGGACTGAGGCCAGCTGGGACCTGGTGACACGTGTCTTGACACTGACACTAAACTCTCCTCTGTAGGAAGGCTGGTCTCAAGTTTGAAGGTGCCAACCAGCCACACTGCTCCATGGGAAGGGAGGCCCTGGACAGGCCTTGGTGTGGTCATCAGCCTACAGGCCGTGGGACTGCTGTCCACCATGTGCCTAGGGACCTGTGTGAAGCAGAACTGCAGAGGTTTCAGCGGGTAGGAGATGGAGTGGCGGTCACGGGGACTGTCCCGTGTTTCCATCCTTTATTCCTATCACAGGCTCTGTCCCTGAGGACAGAAGGAACACCCTGGGGTCTCCCACATCCTCACCAGTGCACACTCAGCCCAGCGTGACCACAGAGGACACAACTCCTGGTCCCAGTCTACAGCCTCGGTAAGGAAACCATATCCCTGAGGTCTCTGGATTGTGTGTGGGGGAGCGGGGCGGGGTAATGCTGAGAGGGTGGAGGGAGAAGGATTTGTATCCCTTCCTTGGGCATCTCCTGCATTTCTCAATCCCACACTGACCTGGGGGTGGGGGGGAGATGTCTTGTGAGTGTCAGTTGCTCATGTAAAGATTGGGACACAATAATTACACCCAGACACAGACCTGCTGAGACAGAGTTAGTTTCACATCCAGATCCTGGGGAGACGGCTCTGCTGGTAAAGTGCTCGTCTTACAAACACAAGGATCTGAGTTCGAGTCACAGTACACACAAGTCAGGCATGGTAGCATATACTTAAAATACCTGATCTCTGGAGGTGAAGACAGAGGATCCCTGAGACTCGCTGGACAGCCAGCCTAGCCTACGTGGCAAGTTAAAGACCTCTGAGAGATCCTGTCAGAAAAGAAGAGAGATGAATCAGGTATGGTGGCTCCTGCCTTTAGTCCCTACACTTGGGAGGCAAAGTTATCGATCTCTGAGCTTAAGACCAGCCTGGACTACACAGCAAATTCCAGTCTAGCCAGTGGGACACAGTGAGACCTGTCTCAGAACAAACATAACAAGGTGATGACTCTGGAGAAATGGCTTCCAAGGTTATCCTAAGGTCTCCACATTCATGTGCACACATGTGCACCTCATACGCACAGATGAACATACACACACGCAGCTAAATTAACCAATTAACTAATTAGAATAAATATGGACACTAGGTGTGCTAGCACCTTTAATCCCAGTGTTTGGTAGGCAGAGGCAGGTGGATCTCTGTGAGTTCAAGGCCAGCCTAGTCTACACTGCAAATTCCCGGAGAGCGAGGGCTACATAATAGAGAGATTTTGTTTCGAAACAAATGACAAAATAACAAAATAACTGCCCCTAAGAGGAAAAGGGGAGGCCCAAGTTAAAGGAGAGCTGGGGCCTCGGTGGGGCAGGGGGGCACACCTGCCTTGTTACAGGCTTTGGGAGTTGAGGTCCATGGGATTGGCCTAGAAAGTGGGGGGCCAGGCCCACAGTGCAAGGCAATTGCTCTCACTGGCTGACTGGGTAGGAGTCTCTTGTCCCTGAAAAGAGCACATGGACACACACCTGGGTGAAAGAGACAGGTACAGTAAAGGGCACCCGCGCTACATTCTGGGAAGGCACTTTACTGTGACCTTGTCCCCCACAGGTCCCTGCTGAGCAGCATCTACTTCCAGCTCCTGGTCTTCCTGGAGCTGCCCCTGCTCCTGAGCATGCTCAGTGTGGTCCTTTGGGTGAACAGACCTCAGAGGTGCTCTGGGGAGAAGCGGCATCACCCCAATTAGGAGAAACAGTGACGTCTGTTGACAACAAAGCCCTGTCCATGTCCCCGCACACAACTCCCCTGGTGCCAGAGGACAGTCTGTGCTTCTGAGAATACTGAGAAGTCTTAGAAGATCCTTTGTGCTGTGTCAAACACGTACAAGAATGTGCCCAATAAATACATATACATATTAATAGAGTATCTTATTTATTTTTAGATAATTACAGCCATGTACACCCCAATTCTATCATATCCACCTCCAAACTGACCCCCTCCCACTCCCTCGGCCAGTTGTTCCCTCCCCCGTCATGGTCTATCCCCCTATTTCCATTCTTCTTCTTCTTTACATAACCTCTGAGTCCAGTCAGCGCCGCCTGCTGGGATGCTCACTAACCTTGCTGTCCTGGTGCTGTGCAGGTAACCGCAGCTGCAGTGTCGTGAGAGCAGTGGCCGTGGCACAGCCGGAACACAGCAGATCACAGCCCCTCCCTCTCCCCTCTGGCTGTCAAGTTCTTTCCTCTCCCTCTTCCTTACATAATGCTCCTGAGCTTTGGGGTAGGGTGGGAGTGATGGGGTAGAATAGAATGCCATGTGTAGGGTCTGGGTACATTGGAGTACAGTGGGGGTACCTTGGAATATGATGGGAGTGCCTTGGGACAGGGTGGAGGTTTGATGTAGGTGTCCCATTTGGGCTGAGCACTAAATAGTCACATATTCTCAGCACTTAGACTACTACTTCTCCTGACCAAGGCTAAGGACAATCTAATCAAAGGATATAGATGTAGATGTTTAGAGGTCGGTTTGCACATTGTCCAATACAGTGACAGCACCTTACGTGGAAATACTCTTGGCACTGTGCTGCTGTGGGAGCTCCTTCCTCTAGCCCATTGGGGCGTGGTCTCTCTCTCTCTTTTGTAGTGAGGAGCTGCAGGCAGGCCTGCTTTTCATCCCGCCCGGCTCCCGCATGGCTAGCTTAGCCCTGGAAATAACAACACACAAATTATATTCATTTAAACACTGCCTGGCCCATTATCTCTAGAGAGTTAGTTACTGGCTAACTCTCACATCTTGATTAACCCATTTCTAATAATCTGTGTAGCACCACGAGGTGGTGGCTGACCAGTCAGCATGTCTGACCTGGTGGCTGACTCCATGGCATCTGCCTCATTGCCCTCTTCCCAGCATTCTGTTCTGTTTACTCCGCCTACCTAATTTTCTGTCCTATCAGAGGGCCAAGGCAGTCTCTTTATTAACCATTGAAAATAACACATAACAGAAGGCCCACCTACATCATTTCCCCTTTTTCTATTTAAACAAAAAAGAAAGGCTTTCACTTTAACATAGTAAAATTACATATAACAAAACAGTTCGGGCTGGAGAGATGGCTCAGAGGTTAAGAGCATTGCCTGCTCTTCCTAAGGTCCTGAGTTCAATTCCCAGCAACCACATGGTGGCTCACAACCATCTGTAATGAGGTCTGGTGCCCTCTTCTGTCCTTCAGGCATACATGCAGACAGAATATTGTATACATAATAAATAAATATTAAAAAAGAAAAAACCAAAACAGTTCTAAAGCAAGAATTTTAGTTACAATATCTATACCTATTTTATCTTTTATCATAACTAAGGAAAACTGTAACTATAACTAACCATTCTTCAACTCCATCAAAGACTCCAGAAGGATATAATATTACCTAAGTAAACAAGAAGTAAGCAATTTCCAAAACTCTAGAAATGACAGAGATATCTTGCTGCCTGTACAGTCACCCAAAGTTCCTCTGTACTGTTGGGGAATCCATCTTCGGCCTTCAGGCCCATAGTATCCAGCAGACATTTCCATGAAGCAGTAAATTTCAAAGGCAGTTCAGTCACTACCTGCTGTGTCCTGCAGAATGTCTCGCAGACTCTTTCATGAATCAGGAACCCCAAAAGACCATCTCACCTTTAGACAAGTTCAGCAGTCCTCTCTCTGCAGGTTCTCTGTGTCCAGTCTATGCAACAGTCCAGGCAAGAGCAGTTTCTTGCCCAAAATGGCTATCAAACTTCATAAGGAATCTCTTCGATGCCCATCTTCCTCTTGAAGTAGATTGGTGCTGCCAGGAGCAGACATGTCTCATTGTCATGAAAAGTCCTAAGTTACTAAAACATTGAAAATGCCATATTCTGTAGTCTTTGAAAGCTATGAAGAATGCCTATCTAACTAAAATATATCTCTATACCTAGAAAATCTAACTAACATGACTAAAGCTTGATTATTATCAATGATTATCCATTAACAACCTATATTTTTAATTATACATAGCATTTTTAAAAGAACTACACAGTCACAATACCTCAATCAAGATTAGAAATACATATACATATAACAAAATTGACCTTAAAATCCATACCAATGCAAATTATTCATATCTATATCATATCCCCCTTTAAATGTAAAAGTACATTTATAAGCAATATTTGGGAATATGGACGTAGTTATTTCTCTCCAAACTTCTTCCTGCTGTATAGGGGCGCTGTTAATCAGGTCTTTCATGGTATAAACTGTGTGTTGGATTCATCTCAGTCGGCAGTTGAGCAAAGTAATTTCTTGAAGGTATTCATAGCAACCTTTCAGGAGGACGGGGTCTATCATACCATATTAGGATAGAAGCAATGCTCAGGGTCTCATCTTCTGTGAAAACAAAAGAAGAACTTTTCCAAAGCATCATAACTTTAGATCCAAATTTTGAAGTCAAGGTATTTTCAACATATCTATCTTGGATTAGTTCAGCAGCATTTATAAACAAATATCTTTTAGCAGCTGTTGCTCCTTCCTCAGCATTCAAGCAATTGAAAGAGAGCATAATAGCATACAGTATCAAGATTCTCTGTGTATTTTCCATCTTTACGCTGCTTTATTGTAACCTCTATTTCTTTTTTTTTAACTTTTACTTTTTGAGACAGGTTTTCTGTATATCTTTGTCCTGGAATAACTCTGTAGACCAGGCTGTCCTTGAACTCACAGAGATCTGTCTGTCTCTGCCTCCCCAGTGCTGGGATTAAAGGAGTGTACTACCACACCTTGAAGTCACAGAGGTCAATCTACCTCTGCCTCTTGAACTCACAGAGGTCTATCTACTTCTGCTTCCCAGGCATTGGGATTAAAGGTGTGTACAACCATACCCAACTACTCTCTTTCTTTCTTTTTAACTTTAGGCACTTTAACTTTTATCCTGCATATATTTTTAACACACTGTAAACCATTTAGATGTTTTCCTCATCTTTGAATCTATCTTTACTGTATATCTCTCTTTTTTCTGACCACATGAGCCTTTAAGGAGAGGATTGAAGTCATGGCTTTGTCGGCTGGATCCAGTCATTCCTTAGCTTTCCAGCCTTGTGGCTGAGGTACCGCTGGAGCCATTTTTATTGCCAAAACTCTATGGCGTTTTAAGGTCCCTGCCAGCAAGCAAACTGCAGCATTCTGCTCACAGACCACACTCAAATCCTCCATAGTCGGACTGCCTGCCTGAAAGAGGCAGAGTTTGCCCTGGCAGGATGGCCCAGAAAGCCAGCATTTGAAAACAGCACAGCTTTTTTCCTGTTACGGCTGAAAACCCGAAAAGCATGCATTTAGCTTTTCATCAACTCCGTTTAAGTGTTTCGCAGCAGGACCTCTTAAAGGAGCTACAAAATTTTGCAGCTAAAGCTGAGTCAGGAAGCCTCTCTTAGATGAGAGCGCTTGCTTGCCTCTAGCAAGCAGAGCAGACCTGAGAAATTACTGCTACCAAGAAAACATGCTTTACTCTATTCTTCCCCAAGCTTTCTCAGGCTTTCTGTGGATTCAGTTACCCACATGGGCGCCATCTGTAACATGAGGGGCCAGCTTGTTGGGGTTTCTGTTCCCGCCCAGTACCCCACAGCTGGCAAGTCCCAGAGAAAATCACACACAGGACTCCATAAGATTATAAACTGATTGGCCCATTAGGTCAGGCTTCTTATTAGCCCTTGTAACTTATATTAATCCATTATCATTATCTATGTTAGCCACATGGCTCAGTACCCTTCTCAGTGTGACAGCTCACATGTTGCCTCTTCGGTGGTCTGGGCAGGAATGGCAGAGGGAGCTTCCTGCTTCCCAGAATATTCCTGTTCACATCGCCCTGCCTCTACTTCCTGTCTGGTTGACCCACCTATACTTCCTCCCTGACCAATGAGCGTTTTATTAAAATACATGATTGACAGAATACAGACAATTCTCCTGCACCACTCTTTCTCACCGTTTTATTAAAATACATGATTGACAGATTCCAGACAATTCTCCCACACCATTTCCCTCTTTTTTTACACTGTGCCCTTCTCCAGGTCCGGTAACAGAACACGGTCCATACCAATGATCCTGGTGTCTGTATCACATTCCTGTTTTTTCCTTTCCTCACTGACAACCTCAACCTGGTATGTTTTATCTGATGCCTTTAGGACTCTGTCATATACATGCATATGGGTTTGCCAGGCATATACTGTTTAGGGTTTCTGTTTCTGATAGTTATAAAGACAGAACTATACTTTTTTTGAGACAGGGTCTCACATAGAGCCCTGGTTGAGAACTCACTATGTAGACCAAGCTGGCCTCTAACTCACAGAGACTCACCTGCACTCCATGCCTGGATGAATGTTACACTCTTTTCGCTCAGTGTTCAGGAGTAAACCCAAAGCCTGGCATGCAGAACAAGCAAGAGGACACAGAGATGCACTCTAGCCTTCCGGATATTCTGGAACTTTATAGACCACGCTAACCTGGAACTCACAGAGACCCACCTGTCTCCACCTCCTGAGTGCTGGGATTAAAGGTGTGAGCCACCGTGTCTGCCTTTTATTGATTTTTCCATCAAGACTGAACTAATAATCAATATTTCTTTCTGTCAATCTAACACTGCCCACATCTTCCTAGCATCCTGCAATGCCAGCCAATTTGAAGAAGACACTGATGTATGGATACACTTGGATTTTCCCCATGGCTTCTCTGGTTTGTTTAGTTCGTCTGATTTCTCACTCTGAACAGGTACACTGCTGTGTCCTTGCTAGAGTTTCAGTCTCAATCTTGATGTCAAGTCTCTCTTCTTGGACATCAGGAAGTCTCTGTAAACAATAGTTGGGTCACCTTCCATGCTCATCTTAGGGCTAGACGATCTAACTCCTAAT